GTTGGGCCCAGATCAGCTGCAGACAAGAGCAGAGCTTTCAGTGGAAATTTTAAGCATGTGGGATCCAGATCCTGAAGCATTTCTTGGAAGCATTGTAACAGGAGATAAAACATGGCTTTACCAGTTCAATCCTGAAATCAAAGCACAATTAAAGCAATGGCTACCAAGAGGTAGAAATAGCCCAGACAAAACAAAAATGGATTGGTTAAGAGCAAAAGTCATGGCAACAGTTTTGGGGGATCTTCACGGCATTTTCCTTGTTGACTTTCTGGAAGGCCAAAGAACAAAAACAAATGCTTATTGCCAAAGTGTTTTCAGAAAGTTAGCTAAAGCTTTAGCAGAAACATGCCTGGAAAAGCATCATCAGAGAGTCAATCCCCACCGCTACAGTACTCCTGTTTATTTCTTTCATCAAACAAGGACAATTTTGTAAGAGTTTCAATGGGAAATCAATAGGCATGCACATTATATAGTCCTGATTTGGTCATTCTTACTTCTTTTTGTTTCTTAATCTTAAAAACTTTAAAGGCCATCCATTCTTTTCTTCTTCAGTTAATAGTGTTAAAAAGACTGCATTAACATGGTTAAATTCCCATGACTGACTTTCTTTGTTTCTTAGCTCCCACTTATGAGTGAGGACATGCAGTATTTCTCTTTCTGTGCCTGGCTTATTTCGCTTAACATAATTTTCTCCAAACTCATAAAAAATTAATTAATTAATCAATTAATTCCCAGGAACCTCAGTTCTTTAGGCATGGACTAAATGGTGGTTATCATCACTAACAAAAGTGTCTTGAACTTGAAGGAGCCTATGTTGAAAAATAAAGTTTATATTTTTTGCTTATCTTTTAAATTCATTTTCCATGAATTTTTTTGAAGTCCCCTTGTATGTACCACATCAGTGAATAGAATACCCAACTTGAGAATGACAACATAGAGGAAAACATCCAGAAATCCTTGATCCTAAAGTAGTTTTTGACATGGTGAGGGGTGCCTATTCAGTTTAGAATGGCTTAGAAAAACAAGAGGTACTTTGTTCTTCCATCCTTATTCTTGTACACAAAGAGGAGACTGAATTCAGTTTTATTTTCCTTATTCAAGAAAAGATATATATCCAGTTAGAGTATTAGATAAAGTACTGTAGATTTCTAACCTTGATGTACTTATTCCAGCATTAGTCCAGGATAACGATGGGGTTATAGGTTCATGTTTGTCTAATGCTATGTCCTCCCATTACTTCCTGACATGTATATGCATCATTTTAGTTGAAAATTTGCTGATCTTCAGGTAAGAAATGGATACAAGATCAATAGGCTGAAAGGCATCTAGAACTAGAAAAAAATCTAGTTTTCTTTTTGGTGGAAAAGCAGGCATTAGAAAGTCGATATAGAAAAATTTAAGTAATATATGAATTAAAATCATTATCCTTCTTCTACTTTTCTTCTTTCCATTCAAATTGCTACCCCAGTATCTCCTTCTCTATTTCTTCTTCATCTTTCTCTGTTTATTTATTGTTAATATTATCATTGTAATATAATGGCTATGAACTTAGCAATTATTATTACCCGAAAAGGCGTTCGCTCTCAGCTGCCCCTCCTGAGACCACTTCTGTGTACTTTATGCGCTCATAGCATTTTCCCCATTGCCCTGGAGTTATCCCCACAGTATTAGTCCATTTTCTGTTACATATGACAGAATACCTGAACGTGGGTAATGTATAAAGAAACAGAATTTATTTCTCATAGTTTTCGAGGCTGGGAAATCCAATGTTGAGGGGATGCATCTGGTACGGGTGTTCTTCTTGGTGAAGAGTCTGCAAGCTCTGAGGCTGCACAGGATATCACATGGGAAGGCTGAGAAGGAGACGCTAACATGCTTTTTCCTCTCTTTACAAGGCTGCTAGTGCCACTCGGTGATAACTCACTTATCCATTAACCCATTAATCCATGAATGGACTAATCCATTCATGAGGGTATGACCTTTATGATCCAATCACTCCCAAATGCCCCACTTTTTGACTCTACCACATTGGGGATCAAACTTCCACATTAGCTTTGGAGGAGGCAAAAATTCAGATCATTAACCCCCCCACTTTTTAAAAGACATGGCCCAGACTAGAGCTCAGGGGAAGAGGAGGAGAGACTTACAGAGTTCGTATTCCAACTGGTTTCAAGCCCTGGCCTCTTCAAGACTGGCTCTGGTCAGCACATGGAGCAAGAGGTGGCAAAAGCTGTGCCCTTTGTATGAAGTTGCTTGGAAGCTTCAGCAGAGAAGAGGGCCTTGGTGGCCCCAGGCCAGCTAGACCACTAACATGGTTCCTGTGGACCCACGTAGGAGTGAGAGGCCACAGACAACTGAAAAAAGGAGCCACTCAGAGGTTGGTGTACCAGACTTCACAATACCTGGAAGTGCTTACAAGGTAAACAATTAAAACCTGAGCTGCACAAAATGTCTTCCCCAGAGAATCAGCAGCAAAGCAGCAATTTAGGTCGATCACAGGATCAAGTGCTGGTCCCCACAGGAAGTTTTCCCATTTTAGAAGTAGTCAAAGGACAATGAATTAGTTCCAGTGCAAAATTTAAGTGGCGGAAATAGCAAATAATCCAACACAGAACGGAAAAAACAAACAAACAAACAAACAAAAAAAACAAAAAACCCACAGATCAGAAACAAAATTCTCATATTAACTAGTAAAGGTCTACCACCACCAAAGAACACCTATAAAACTTACAAGGACCAGAAGCTCCTTGGGTTCCCAAGCTGTGTTGTGGGGGGCTGAGGGACTCAGCCATGACCCCCTGACTTTCACATCCAGCCCAGCAATGGCCACCAATCTACCGCCAGAAGCACCATAGGCTGCTGAGCTGGGGCAGTTTGGGACTGAGGGCTTCAGTCATGTCCCCCACACACCTTGATGTCTGCATCCAGCCCGGTGATGACCACCTGGCCACTGCTGGAAGCGCCCTGGGCTCCTGAGCCAGGGTGGGTGGTGCTGAGGGCCTCAGCCACAGTGTGTCCCAAAGTCTGCCTCCTGCCTAGCCATAACCAACCCCCCACCAAAAGCCCCCTGGGCTCCTCTGCTGGAATGAGGGTGGATGCCACAGGACTTGACCCTGTCCCTGTCCCCCGTCCTTGTCTACCCACTCTATCTCCCTCCTTTTCCCCTCTCCGCCTCTACCTCACCTGCTCCATAATGACATCTTAGAATGTGAAATAAATAAATAAATAAATAAATTTAAAAGTAAAATAAAAAATATATAAATAAAAGACACTGCCCATTAATACCTTTTTCTAGATTGTTTCTCTTCTCTATTTGAGGTTAAAAAAACAAACAAAAGTTCGTAAGCACATCATCTTAACTGATTTATGAGATTAAATAGATAAACAGAACTGGCACCAAAAACAGCAACAAAAAGAACAAGTATTGAATTTTAGTACAGTAGGAGAGATACCTCAAACCTCATTCTTAGGTAACCACATCTTCTGTGAACCTACAAACTCTCCAGGCTAGAACATCACTGAGTTTACCTCATTAATCAGCTACTTCTAGTGCATCATGGCAAATCCTTCTGCCTCATTTTTCTAATCACTGTTGCAGTAACCAGATCCATCCAATTATTGGTTGGCTTGATACAGAAAAAACCTGAATATCCTCAACTCAGGACTGCAAAGTATACCTCTTGTTTCTTGCCCCACTAACACTAGGGCATGAGACATCTTACAGGTACTCACTTGGTATTCATGCATTTAAAACCCGGAAGTGTGGAGAAATTAAGAATTGAGCCTGTAAATATTTCTCTTTTGCCAGCTGGCACATTGGGTTAACACTTTTCAGTAGAGGGTGATGGATAAACTGGAAGAAAAGAAGTTTTCTTTTCCTGGTTTCAGTGTGGTTTTCTGGCCTAGCTCCAAGAGAACACGCTTTGTCTCCATTGCTTGTCCCTATGTAGTTTGTACCAGGCTCACATCCAGCAGTGCAGTGCTTTCTTTAGCATTTAGCCTGTGAGTTTGTTCTACAGTGTCCAATGGGACAAAAATGGCATAACCAGGAGACCCAGACAAAATGGATCAGCATTCCAACTGAGGTACCTTCTCCTACAACTTCTACTTAGCCCTGGGTATGTGTATAAATGTCAGGGGCACCATGGGACTAGCCTACTAGCAAGCTGGCCACTCAACCTCATCCTGAGAAGGTAGCCTGAAACGCTTCGACCTGAGCCAAACATGGAAATGCATTACACTCCTGTAAATAGCAGCCTCTCCAGCTCCCAGGTGCAGCAGGGCCCAGCAGCCAGCAGCTTCCCGCCACCTAGAGAGTTCCAAGGCTTGGCACCTTCTTGTGAAAGACCTCTGCCATTGCTAGGTCAGTGGGCTCATGAATGGAATCGCAAACATGAGAAAAAGTATAGGTTCCCATTTATCAAAAGAAATTTTTGTAAAAGATTTAGAAAAAAGTATTATCTTCACTCCCAGAATGTTAGCAGTGTTATTACCAACTTGTAATGTTCAGCTAACAGCAACAGAAGTAATGCTGAGCACTTGATTTGGTAATTGTGTTTACATTGGATATGCCCTAACAATAACAGAGGGCAAATAATTCAACCTATGCAAAACCTACTGTTGAATTGCACTGATATTTATTTTAGGATTCACTCTATGGAATGGCTATTTTGGAAGCACACAGTTTTAAAAAAAAAATCCATCTAATTAAGTACTTTTTGTATGTCATTCAGAAAAGAACTACTGGCTTATTGAGAAAGTTTTCCTACGTAAATCTGTACTTTTATAATTATATGAAGAGTTTGAAATAATATTTTATGTAGGTCTCAAAGTGCTTGCAAATATAAACAGCTGTTTACATATTACCTCACTTTATATTGAAAACAAAATTGTATTTAGATGGGATTGATATAAATTTACTGACAAAGAAATTGACTAAGCAAACATCATACAGCTTACAATATGCATAATGTGGATTTAGGAGGCATGTCTCAGCACTTTGAGTACAATTAAACCCATTCTACCAAAAGATGTATCCACAAATGGCTTTATCACTCCTCTGAGATAACTGATAATTAGATATGGAGCTGCTGCTGAATTAAAATCTTGACAATGGCCTTTCGAATCTGCTTAGTCTTCACACTGTAGATGACAGGGTTGAGCACAGGAGGAATGAGCAGGAAGACATTGGCCATGATGGTGTGGACAAATGCAGGTGCTGAATGGCCATAACGATGGACAAGAGACAGACTGATAAGGGGAATGTAGAAGATGGCAACAGCACTGATGTGGGATATGCAGGTGTTGAAGGCTTTCTGCTGTTCCTCTGAGGAAGCAATGTTGAGGACAGATCGGATGATCAGGATATAGGAAAGCAAGATGCAAGGGCAGTCAAATCCCGTAGTGCAGAAGAGAGCCAGCAGACCAAGGATGCTGTTGACACTGTTGTCTGTGCATGAGAGTTGAATGAGATCAACATGGTAACAGTAAGAATGTGAAAGGATCATAGAACCACAGAAGGACAGCTTCTTGACAAAGAGCACAACTGGCAACATGACAGCCACATTTCTTATCAACATGCCCACTCCAATCTGGGCAATCCTGGCATTGGTGAGGATGGTGGTGTATCTCAGTGGGTCACAGATGGCCACAAAACGGTCAAAGGCCATGGCCAGCAGAACCCCAGACTCCGTGAAAGTAAATCCATGCAGAAAGAACATCTGGGCAATGCAGCCATTTAAGTTGATCTCTCGGGCTTCAAACCAGAAGACACCAAGGGTCGTGGAAAGTGTGCACAGGGACAAGCTCAGGTCTGTGGCTGAGAGCATGGAGAGAAAATAATACATAGGCTCATGGAGGCTCTGCTCACGGAGGACTACAAACAGGATCATGCTGTTTCCAGAGAGGGCGACGACATACAGGAGACAAAAGGGGATGGAGATCCAGACCTGGGCTGTGCTCAGACCTGGAATACCCGTCAGGAAGAAGGTCGGAGGCTGAGCATTGGTATTATTGAGGATCAACATAGTGAAGGACTGAGAAGACAGGGATATTTGAATAATTGAACTAATACATAAAATGCAGCTTTTTACTTAGAACATCCTTCTGACACTCCAAGATTCACTGAATTACTCTTTCTAATTCCCCAAGAACTTTAGTATTTTCTGAGTTTTCTAGAGCTTCATGCTTCTCCTCCAACCTCTCTGTGTTTCACATTTATTGAGAAAGAATTCCCAGAATTGTTCCACATCAAGTTTTCTTAAGAATGTTAAGTCTAAAATTTTCTTTAGTAGCAACAAACATCACAATTAAATACCTCTGCCTATAAAAATCCCCAGTAGAATGCCTAAACAGTATTACAAGAAATTTTGTTTCAAGTGCTGGTTGAAAATGAATTATTGATTCTGGAATAAAGCACTGAATGAACCAAGTCCAACTTGAAATATAGGTATTAGGCTTCCCTGGGAAATATCAAAGAATGCGAAAACACACCTGTGACATATGTTTCTATATACATGAAGATAGGGTAGTCCACAAATCCTCCCTTAGGATAATAGGTATTGGTCCCATTTATTGAGAGCTCCTTCTGTTGCTGACATTTTACGTGAATTATGTGATTTCATCCATGTGCCCATATGCCAGCTCCAGGAGTTAGTCAGACATGCACTTTGCAGATGAGCAAATAAGGCTCAACAATTAAATAATCACACAATGTTATCTTTATAAAGCACTGCCTAACTGTTGAGGGAAACCAGAAATATAAGAAAGATGAGCAAAATAAGAGAGCGAGAGACAGAGGAAGTGAAGGAGGAAGAGAAGTAGGAGGGGAAGGAAGGGAAGGAGGAAGGGAACAAGCAAGAAAGGGAAAAAGGCACACCTGCAAACCTTGCTTACTCTAACACAGTGCAGTATGCACCATGTTGGGATAAATAGTAGCACAAACTACTATTGAAATTCTGAGAACATAATATCAAGTATTTCTTGAACAGGTACACATGTGCTAGGTACAATTATCTTCATATCTATAGCCTAATGCAGTCATCATTACTATTCAATGGAGTAAACTAATTTCTTGTCCCTAATATACATATGGGGAAAACGATGTTCAAATTGATTAACTCACGCCAAATTATGCTGTTTGGTAGTAGAAGAGCTGAGATTGAAACCTACATATGTGATCACAATGCCTGCACTCTATAAAGGTGATAAACGCATAGGAAGAATTTCTAAACAAGTCTGACAAAGGTTTTTAAGATGTGCACTTTAAAGGTGACATACTGTATTCAGTGTGTGGTATTTTTGGAGTAGAGTCCTGTCTGTCAAATGTTAATTCCGTGTGTCTCATGCGGATATGAAGCTCTTAATTCTTACTTATTTTTTCTGGTGATTCTTTCTGGAAATCTTCTCTTTTCATAAATTGTACAACACTAGTCTCTATTATTTTTTACCCACCACACAGCTTTTTCTCTGACTGTTTTTGGGTTTTGTTTTTTTCTTCTACTCTCACCCCTGAGAACATTATGTTTTCCAACTTTACATATGGTATCCTTTAGGGATTTACTATGAGCCCATTCCCAAGTCACTTAAAAATTATCTCACTCATTTTCACAGCTTTATTTTTTTACCTATATACAGAAGACATATTTCAAATAAATATCTTAAAGCCATTTCTGGTTTCCAGGTTCCAGATCTGAAGATAAAACTTGCTTCTCAACATTTCCACATGGATTTTTCATGGGTAATTCAAACATGATATATTGAAAACCAAATTGATCACTTTCCTTTATTACTGTGCTTCCTCCTATATATTCTATGTAAAGCTTATATTTTTCACAGAAATAACTCAATTATCTAAATTACATATGTGAGCATTATCCTGTACTCTTTTATTTTTTTAACTAACACTACTTCCAAGTAAATACCGAATCTTTTCTATTCAACCTAATATCCCCCTATCTCCTTCCACCTCTTTATCTAAATATAAAATACTCTCCCCCATATCTTCATACTGTCTAACCTAGACTATTAAATTAGCCTACAAGTAATAATAACTTGTTTTTCTTAACCTAATAATATCAATATAATAATATAAAATGAGAACTCCAAATGAATAACAATCATTTATTAAGCACCTTCTCTGTGCCAGATAAATATAAAGTAGAAAAACAATCTTTTAAACTGAATAACAATGAGAAACCCACATGTCAGACCCCATGGTTCAGGACATCAGAGTGTAATTTATACTCTGAGGAATGCACATTTATTAGAAAATGAGGATAAAAATATTAATTGTCTAAGTCTTCAGTTTAAGAAGCTAGGAAAATGATGAAATAAATGCAAGAAAAAGCAATAAAGATAAAAGGCACAAATGAATGAGTTAGCAATAAAGACAAAGTTGAATATTTTAAAAGACTATAAGTGAGATTTTTCTGGTCAAGAAAATTTTAGAAAAAACATGAAAAATTAAAATGGTAACAGAACTACAGTTAGAGAACTATACATTTAAAAATAATGAAATAGTATATGCAAAATATAATGATGTATTTAACCGCATATATAAAATAGATAATTTTATAGGAAAACATATATTACTAATCTAACCTGAGAACTAAAATCCAGCAGAGAAAAAAAGTGTAATGACAAGAAAAACTATTAAGAACATGCGTTTTGATTTTTGAGTTCTATCAAGCTTAAGTGAAAAAATAAATATTTCTGTCTTTTACAAAATCATCCAGTGTAGAAGAGAGAGATTTTGCCCCTTTGGGATCATTTTGCAATGTTTGAAGACAATTTTGATTGTCATAGCTGGAAACGGAGTGTTACTGGCATCTAAGGGGTAGAGGCCAGGGTTGCTGCTAAACATCCTAAAATGTGCAAGATTGTCCCTCACAACAGAGAATCTATCCAGTCCAAAATGTCTGTAGTTTCAAGTTTGAGAAGCATATGAAACTACAAAGCATATGAAAAAGATGGAAAGTTATCTATCTAATTGCTTAAGAAGACAGATGTAAACTTTATAAATAACTCATTATCAAGTCAGATGCAACTATACTTTTAAAGAGTATTGCAGTTTTACACTGTTGAACTTCTGTTATGAAGGCAGAAATTACTCAGTGTAAGAAATCTGTCAATGGTAGGACTATACTAATATATTAAGAGAGGGAAAACATTATTTTCTGAAGATATGAGAAAAAACTCAGAAAATTCAGTGAGAATTTATGATAAAATTCTTAATATTTAGGAAGTAAATAGAACTTTATTAATGAAGGGTATTTTCCAGAAATTCAGAGTAAACGTTATTTGCTGGTTACCTATTAATATTATTATTATTATTATTTCCTTTACAACTGTGAATGAGGATAAAGAATATGACAATAATGGTATCTACCATCAGTAGAATAAATAACTAATTATGTGATAAATAAGGTTTGGCCAATTGGATAACAGTTTTTAAAAACATAAAAGACCCCTATTTTACACATCCCTGCACTTGGATTAACAATTTTAACACACACAAAAAAATCTGTAGTAATATTAGAATAAGTAAAGGAAAATGCATTTATGACTTTTTAAGGATCAATTTAAAGCCATTTTTGTGAAATATTGGTATTGAACAATGCACTAAGCTCAAATACTACTGATTGCAAAAGATGTATCTTAACAAAATTAGCAGTACAGCACTTCATACATGCATTGGAAGGCCAAACCAAAGAATGCTGATGTATCTTGTTAAAATGACAGTCTGAATTAAAATACAGAAAATGAGATGAAAACGGCAGATTTGAAAATATTTGAGAAAATAGAATTAACCAGATAAGGCAAAACTGGGCACCAGGCTGGATAGAGATCAGAAAAAGTAAAAACAACCTGATTTAGCATCCACCCAGTGGGCTTTAAAAAAAAAAAGCTCAATAAAATCGGTGTACTAGATTAGAAGTTGCAAATCACGCCTGCACATTAGAATTATTTGAGAAGCTTTTAAAAACTATGCAGGCAAAATCTCAGTCCAGATAAAATAAATTCAAGTACCTGGGGATGGTACCCATGCTTCTGCTTTAAACTAGATTGTATGTCTTTTGGGTTTTTTTGTTTGTTTATTTTGGTGATCTGTGATTTGTGTTATGTTGAGAAGCAGTTAGAAATCAGAAGTAATGACACTGAATATAAATGTCTGTGTCCACGAATTTTGGTCATATATGAAATGGTGGACACTGGGATGTATAATTATGTTGGCCATACAAAATAATAATGACAAAGATAGAAGTCTTTCTCCTCCATCAACTAGAGATAGGATCTTGGTAACTCATTTCTGTCTATGGCCACTCATCTGTAAACTCTGGACTTTAAAAATATCCCTGATCTGCCTATTTCCAGTTGTTTCTGTGATGGTCAAAAATGTCAAATTTTATTTTATATCCTTCTTCCTAAATATAAATGGCTACTATTAAGAGAGCTAAAAGGGAGCACAGAATATGAGGATTCTATTAAAAGATGGAGCTGACACTAAGTGAAATGACTCAATAAGCTTATTTCCCAACAAATAGGAATACAGATGTCAGTCAAATTTAGAAGCTTAGTGAAGCACCAATAAAAGCAACAGTATATCTCACATTTAGGGCTATGCAGAATCACAACATTTCTACTTTATTTTCTTGCCGTAACTGGCTTTGATGTTTTCTCCTGGAAAGAAATATTTGTTTGCAAACTTCTTGCTGATATCTAACTTAATTCCCACAACCTTTAGCTTGAGCCTGTTACTCTGCACCCCTCTTCCCAATATTTCTACTCATCTACCTCTTATTTGCAGTCCTTTGCCTCTAAGCCCCCACTTCTCCACTCCCTTCTCTTGCTCTTTGTTCTATCCCTAATCTTCCAGTTTAGATAGACCTCCAACATCTCTGTCTTCTTGGCCTGTTCTTTCTGGTCCTAGCATCTTACCTGGATCCCAAAAGAGAGTGAGCTGCCCTTTCCACTCACAATCCAGTCAAATGTATATGTAGGTGGCTCTTAGACCTGGCCCTTTATAAGGAGCTCATCATATAATACAACGTGACTTCCAAGAGACCCTCGAGACTTCACGGTAGGTGTGAGGACTAGAACTTCCCAGGAGGCACCTCACA